GGTGGTCTTGCTGCGGGGGTGTCTGTAAACCCACCTGTCCCTTGGCAGCCAGCGGGAGGCCTGGTTAGTCATCTGGATCAGCCCTTCCAAATTTTCTCTATGTGAAATAAATAACTAAATATTGATTCAGACTTGCAAAACAAATCTGTTGCAAAATCAATCACTGGAAATAAGATGTGAAAAGAAGAAAGAGCTTGTAACACCGTGAAAGTATTGTTACAAAATTTGTTGTTTGTTCAGGTACTACGCTGACATTCTCAGGGATCCTCCCAGTTTCCCTGCAGTGTTCTCTGTCAGTTTACAAACAAGGATGCCGTCTCCTCCTGCCAAACTTCTTCCATAATCTTGTAACATTAGCAAGCAATTAACAATACATATAATTCATAATTACAGGGTATTTACCATGCAAAAAGCTTTAGCAAGAGAACTTCCTCATAGAATATGAATATACTAGAACATTATGCACCCTAACATAATGAGAATGTACGTTATTTTCAGAAATTAGTGACTAAAGTGAAGTTCTGTATTTGGCTTTTAAGGAGATCCAAATGGCCTGACTATCAAAGGTATTTAGCAGTAGCAGACTGGAAAATTAAAGCAAAACCAAAACCAATGTACTAGTACTTGGACTTGGTTCATAAAAATAGCTTGTAAACACTAGCAGCATTTGCATACTAATGAGTCTCTCCCTGTCCATTACCTAAAAAGATAACAGTGCATCCCCATTTTTTTCCTCAAGACTAGGACATTTCTTCGAGGAAATGGATACATCTTCCCCAAAATACCCAGTCAAAAAGCGAGTGAAAATTCATCCCAACACGGTAACGGTAAAATATACTTCTCATTATCCCCAGCCAGGAGAAGAGGGATATGAGGATGGTAATGAAGATACTGGTGTATTTATGGAGGATAACCCTAAAAAAAGACTATTGAGCGATGGGAAAAAGAGAGGAAGGACCTTTTTTGGTACGATAGACACCCAGCTCCAGCCAGCACAACTACCAAAAGCCAGTGAGATGGGGCATTTCCAGAACTTTCCCGAAGGAAATATACTGCAGTCGAGGAAAATGTGGATAGTCCTTTTTGGATCTGCCGTGGCTCATGGATGTGTGGCTCTAATTACGAGATTAATTTCCGATCGTTCCAAAGTGCCATCCCTAGAGCTGATTTTTATCCGCTCGGTCCTACAGGTGCTGTCCCTTACCGCTGTATGTTATTACCATGAGCCGCCCTTTGGCCCCAAAGGGTACAGACTCCGGCTCTTCTTCTACGGGGTCTGCAACGTTATCTCTATTACCTGTGCTTACACTTCCTTCTCCATAGTTCCCCCCAGTAATGGGACCATCATGTGGAGGGCTACCACTACAGTGTTCAGTGCCATTTTGGCTTTTTTACTGGTAGATGAAGGAATGGCTTACGTAGACATAATTACTGTCGTCGGCAGCGTGTTTGGTGTCTGTCTTGTCATGATCCCCAACATCGTCAAGGAAGAAAACTCTTTGCTGAGCACCTGGAAGGAAGCTTTTGGCTACACCATGACCGTTATGGCGGGCTTGACCACTGCTCTCTCCATGATAGTCTACAGGTCAATCAAAGACAACATCAGCATGTGGACAGCACTGTTCACCTTCAGTTGGACGGGAACCGTGTGGGGAGCATCCACCATGTTCGTGCTTCAGGAGCCAATCGTCCCGCTGGATGGAGAAACCTGGAGCTATCTCCTTGCCATCTGCCTCTGCTCCACGGCAGCCTTCCTGGGGGTCTACTACGCCCTGAGCAAGTTCCATCCCGCTTTGGTCAGCACTGTACAGCACCTGGAGATAGTCATCGCCATGGTCCTGCAGCTCATCGTGCTGCGCATCTTCCCAGGTACTTACGATCTCATTGGGGGAGCAGTTATTTTGGTTAGTGTTTTTTTTCTCGCGTGTTATAAACTGTCCTGGAAGAATTTAGGAAGACAGGATTATCAGGAGATTGTGGATTCTTCCATTAAATGAAGCGCAGTTTTGTTGTCCAGTCCTGGTTGCGTGACCACGTGAAAGTGACGTATTCCAACTCTGTTGTGTTCTCATGTACTGGTCAGCTCCACTCCTTACTGTTTAACTTCACAGCTGATGTAGCAACATAGGTAATTTCAGATTTCTGTGACAGGTGAACTTGTTCTAGTGTGTACAACCACTGACATTTTTATGTCGTATGAGAAAAGGATTTTTGTCTGCAGCACATAGGGTGCGTGAGTGGAAGTACAGATGGCCTGCCAAAGTGCAGGCCGAGCCGTAGGCATTTTCCTCCTCACCTTCCTGGGATAAAGCAATATGGAGACAGAGGGATTCACTGGTGACTGCCAGTCCCATGTGCTGGGGTAGTAGGAAATGAACAGTAAAAACATTAAAATGGTCAAGCAGAGCATTTGTGTCCTCTGTAACACTCCTTCCACTTTGGCTGTAATGTTCTAAATGAAGAAATGGTAATGTTTCTGTGATGGGTATTTGTGTTTCCTGTGTGTGTATAAACAAAAGAATACATCAGTAAAGCATTTCGTGATCTGTGGTTAAACTTCTCTCTCAGTTGACACAGGAAGCCCAGACTTCTAGGGTTTTCTTTCCCCCACCCCTTGCGTGGGGGAAAAAGCAGCCCCCAAAACTGGATCTCCACCTGTCCCCAGCTGTGAAAGAGGTCTCCAAGAACTGGAAGATCTCTGATAATAAAAAAGCTGCCCCTGGAGCAGCGCAATGTTCTTTCTTTGGAACCACTTCTCCCAAAAGATGTTTCAACTATTACACAAGGGGAAAAACAAGATTTGCATTTGAGACTGAGGTGCGAACAGTGGTGTTAACAAGGAACAGCCTGACCGGCATCTAGTGACTGTTCAGCCATTCCCAGGACAGTCAGCCCTAAATTAATTTCCCAGCCTAAGGAAACACCAAAGTCCTAGTCCTCTTCCACTGTTTTTTGAAGTCAGTGTGATTGGATCTTAACAATTCAGTTACAAAACCCATTCAACTCATCAATCTGATATATGGTTCCAAATTTGCTTCCAGGTTGTGCTAGCGTATGGCTAGGAAACAGCAAGACCAGTGTCTAAGGACATGGCCGCAGTTGTGCTTTCTGCCACTAACTGCGACGCAGCAGTTGCATGAATCCCCCTGCCTACCTTTCCTGCTCTGTTGAATATGAGCCAGCAGCGTGCTCAGGTGGCCAAGAAGGCCAACGGCATCCTGGCTTGTATCAGAAGCAGTGTGGCCAGCAGGGCTAGGGAGGTGATCGTCCCCCTGTACTCGGCTCTGGTGAGGCCGCACCTCGAGTACTGTGTTCAGTTTTGGGCCCCTCGCTACAAGAAGGACATCAAGGTGCTTGAGCGGGTCCAGAGAAAGGCCACGAAGCTGGTGAGGGGCCTGGAGAACAAGTCCTACGAGGAGCGGCTGAGGGAGCTGGGCTTGTTCAGCCTGGAGAAGAGGAGGCTCAGGGGCGACCTTATTGCTCTCTACAGGTACCTCAAAGGAGGCTGTAGCGAGGTGGGGGTTGGCCTGTTCTCCCACGTGCCTGGTGACAGGACGAGGGGGAATGGGCTTAAGTTGCGCCAGGGGAGTTTTAGGTTGGATGTTAGGAAGAGCTTCTTTACTGAAAGGGTTGTTAGACACTGGAACAGGCTGCCCAGGGAGGTGGCGGAGTCACCATCCCTGGAAGTCTTTAAAAGACGTTTAGATGTAGAGCTTCGGGAAATGGTTTAGTGGGGACTGTTAGTGTTAGGTCAGAGGTTGGACTCGATGATCTTGAGGTCTCTTCCAACCTAGAGATTCTGTGATTCTGTTGTGAGCTTCACTAACAGCGTGAGGTTGGGCAGCAGCGCGTTGGCTCTCAGCTTCTCATCCTCCTGTGACACGACACAGCAGGAGGATCTGAGCACGCAACGGGTTTGTTCTGCACCCCCTGCCCACCAGGCACAGGAGGAGGCTGGGGCTTTCAGTGCTGCTTGCCGGGAATTGCTCTCTTAGGGTATTTGACCTGGAAAACCACAGCAACGTTTGGAATAGATTAAATATGGGTCTCTGAACAGGGAGATAAGATATCAACAAGACTCCTTGTTGATAAGGGTTAACAGATATAACTGTTCATGATAACAGAGAGCATCACAAGCCCATTGATTCTGACCACCTGCAGAGTAGCAAAGATGACACCTCCCGCTGTTCTGCCAGCTGCAAACCCCAAGCCATTGCACTCAGTGGCCCAGGGGCTCCAGGCTCCCAAAACCACTGGAGAGGAAGGGGTGCAAGGCCCCCCCCCCACCAGGAGGTGTCACCAGTCACCCATGCTGTTCCATGTGTGGAGGATATCTGGGAAGCACCTGCAGCAGGTGGCAGGCACGCTGTGACAAGTTCACATGCCCCCGAGCAGTGTGGCAGCAGGGGCACAAGTAAGGAGCCCCCTCTGTGCCCCCAACCCCAGACTCTGTGGCAGGGGCGCAGTGCTGAGCCTTGGACTAGCACCTGCACTGGGAGCCCAGCTGCAGCTTGGAGCTGAAGCATGGCCCTAAGAAGCATTTTGGCTGAGGATATCCTTGTGGTTGCCATCCAAAATGGGAAACTTGGGTGTTCAGAGCTCATCTGCCCATCAGGGCTGCAAGAGGGCACCGCAGGACCGGCCCAGAAGGAAACCAGCAGTAGAGAAGGTGGCGGCTTTGTGCCTACCACACGTCCCAGGCAGTCCCAAGGCACCTCAGCCCTCTGGAAATGTGCTGCCCACAAAGAGCCCCGTGTGTCACCACTGCTGCTCTGGGCTTCCCAGCTCAAGCAGCAGGGAGCAAGCAGGGAGCAAGCAGGGAGCAAGCAGGGCCCCCCAGGCCTTGGGGAACAGCGGCCCTGCCTGAGGACTGGGGCAGCGCCTCCCTGCTCAGCAGGCTGTGCCTCTGGTCTGAGCCACGAGCATTTACCGAGGGGAGAAAACATCCCTCTAAGGACCCCAGCCAGCCCTGCATCCCCCAAAACACCACAGAAAGTACATTTCACTTAGGAAAGAGCCACAGCAGTGGCAATTGCTTTTATTCCTATGAATACCAAGGGAGAACAGATTGCCCGAGATTGAGCAGCCCAGCTGCCGTGCTCCTCCTGTGTGCGGCACGCATGTCCTCCTACAGCAGTGATCACAACAAGTGCCTTGGCACGCAGGGGTGACACGTTTCCTCCGGTGCTGGCACACATTTAGGGCAGGCACAACTGCTGTTTCCTTTTGGAGCACGTAGAGCTGGCACCAGGGGCTCTGCCCGCTGCAAGGAGGGGAGGAAAGGGGAGCAGGTAATGCAACGCTGTGCTGGGAAAGCCATGCCTGCCCCCTTCCCAGCCACAGCGTCCTTTGGGAGCTCAGGGCTCTGGCAGCAGCAGCGCAATTCCCAGCCCGGCCTCTTGCTGCACTGCTGCCAAGTCCCCGTGTTGCCCGGGGCCAGATGGCCTTTCTTCCTCTGAGCCATAAGGCAGCGGGCTGCCTTCCTTTGGGGAAAACAGCCAGGGCAGGAGGCTCCAACCCCTGCAGCTTCCATGCCTGTTATGCTCTGGAGGGAGCTAAGCTTGGAGCACCTTTTGAGCACGTGTCAATGTGTTGGCAAGCCAGGAGCTCTGGACACCAAGGTGCTCTGAGCACACCACGCAGCGGGGAGTCCCGAGCAGGCCCCTGGTGAGCTGCCCCAGCCCCAAAGCAGCAGAGTCCCCTCCCCAGCACAGCCCCCAGCGTCTGAGCAAGCTTCTCTGCTCGAGGGGCATGCACTGTGGGGACAAACCAGCCCCGCCACGATCCCTGTGAGCAGGAGCTGACAGACAGCTAAGCAGGACTAGGAGCACGTCGCTGATGAAGCAGGAATCTCGCTTCCCCCTCCAGCCAACCGCTTCCCTCACATCAATTCCAAACTGCAGGCTGGCTCAGTTTGGCTGGGGCGTTGGGCAGAAAGCTATTCCTGTCAGAGCTGGAGTCCAAACTGACTCAGCCTGAAGCCACAGGACAGGAAGGGCACATCCTGTGGGCAGGGGCTTGCTGCCAGCTTATCACCATCCCGCCCCTGCACAGCCACCACAAAAGGGGTGGCCACCTCAACCATGCAGCTCCTGCTCCCTGCCCTGCCCGCAGCCAGCTCCCAGGGACAAAGCAGAGCAAAATCCCACCCCGAGAACCTGGGGGGCAGCTGGGTAGTCCTGGGGGCTACGAGGCTCCGTCCTCGCCCAGCTGTGCCACAGCCTGCACGAGGTCCTGCATAACCAGGTCCACATCGGCACGGGTGGTGTCCCGCCCCACGCTCAGCCGCAGGGCGTTCTGCGCCACCTCGTAGGGGATCCCACAGCTGAGCAGGATCGACGAGGGCCTGAAACACAGGCAGGGGGGAGAGGGTTTAACTGGGAGGCCAAAGAAGTGCACACATCGCTTGAGAGATTCACAGAGCCGTAGAAAGGAGCATGTCTGGACAGATGCACTCGAGGCAAAACAGTGAAGTGCCCTGCTTACCTCCCAAAGGCACCTGCTCGCACCCAGCTCGTTGCCCTGGGGCAGATCTGGCTCTTCCCCTCTGAGAACCTCCCCAGTACTTCCAGGGACTGCAAGCTCTACGTGTCACCGCTCTAAACCAGCCCCAAAGCACCTGCTGTCCCACACACACCCAAAGGAGCCCTCTGGAGACCCTACATAGGCTTGGCTGGGCAAGCCAGGCACACAGACACAGGCAGACTGCCGGCAGTGCCACACGCTGAGGAGTGCTTCCAGGCTCAGCTGGATCACCACAGCCCAGGGGAACAAAGTCCCTCCCGCAGCAGCCACGTGTTCCAGCCGTGTTTTATGCAACAACCTCCTGTGCTGCTCTCAGCAAAGCTCTGCACTCACTTTGCTCCAGGCAGTGCTGCCCACAGCCACCCCCCGGCCCCTCTCCCTGCCTCCCTCTCTCCTGGGAGGAGAGGCACTGGCCCAGCTGGCTGCTTACCGATCCCCTTTCTCGGAGTGGCAGGCAGCCCCAACGCTGGCGAGGAGGGTCTTGCAGTGAGCCAGCACCCTGCGCCCTGCAGCACACACACACGGGTCTCCCCGTGCCCAGGCTCCTTCTGAGGGCCGCTGCCCGCCTCATCTCCGTGCCCAAGCCGTGGCCGAGCTCCCACGTGCCTCAGGCCCGCAGCACCCCACGGGAAGCGTGCGCAGGGGAGGTGGGAGCAGAGCTACCTTGAAGGCCTGGGCCCAGAATGGAGAAGTTGCAGGTGTTGCAGAGTCGCTTGGAGCCCGTGAACTTGCTGTTGAAGTGGAGCCTCTGCTTCCCAAAGGATGCCTGGAAGGACCAGAGGGCTGCAGACAGCTCTGGGAAGCGAGCAGCTCTGTCCCAGCGTGTCCTCAAGGCCCCGCACCCTGCAGGACAAGTCCCCGGGAGAGGAGAGATGGACAGGAACTGGATCCGCTCACCTCCAGCCTGGCCTCCAGGTAGTCCCGAACATCCCGCATGTGGGCCTCGTAGGCCTCCCAGTTCCTGCTCACGAGCTCTGCAGCCTGAGGAGACCCAGAGAGGTTCCCTCAGCAATCCCCAGACAGCTCCCTCCACATCCAGCCTCCCAGCGTCAGTGCAGCCCAGCAGCTGCCCCCACCAGGTCCCATCCCGACAGCTTGCAGAGCGGTGCCAGCTGTGCCTGCCCTGCTGCCAGGCAGACTGCGGGGCAAAACCTGCAGCCGACACTTGGAAGCAGCTCCTTGGACTGGCACCAGAAGTCCTATCTCCTTCCCCTGCAGTTCACCTGCCCTCCCGCACCCAGAGCTTGTCACTTCTAGAGGTGGAGTAGTGCAGCAGGATGCGTCCATGCTGGCTCTGCCAGGCAGCAGCCCTGAGAAGCCTTTCCTCCACCACCATCACCCACTCACCTTGCCAAGGCCAGCGATCATTGGGGTGTTCTCAGTGCTGGAAGGGAAGAGCGGGTAGGGACTTGCATTTTGCTGGACTAGAAGTCTGTTCTCCAGCCTCAGGGCACAGCCCCTCCCCGCCTGTGACCCCTGGCTGTTCAGCCACTGACCGGGCACCTTACCCTGGCCGGAAACTCCTCTCCTGTCCCCCTCCGAAGAGCATGGGGTGCAGCGGGGTGGTGGTGCCAGGGCCACGCACGTACAGCGCGCCGATCCGCGGGCCGTAGAACTGCAGGGAGGAAGAGAGCTGCACCAGCCACGTGGGCACAGCGCCAGGTGCCCCGTGATGGGCACCCTGCCCGACCCCAGAGCTGTCCCCAAGCCTCAGCCACCTCCTGCAGCCCCTCCAAACAAAGTCCCCTGACTGGCAGAGGCTGTTCCCCAGCTTTACCCTGGGGGACTCACAGCCCCGCAGTGATCTCCCAAAAGCCCTTTGCAGCTGCCCAGCTCTGGCCATGCTGTGGGAGCCACCCAAGGTCCCCCCAGCAGGGATATCTGTGAAGGCGACTGGGCTACGCGAGCAGTGCTGTACCTTGTGCCCCACGATGGTGAGGTAGTCCACCCCCAGCTCCTGCACGTCCACACGCCCCTTGCCAATCATCTGTGCCGCATCCGTGTGCACCAGGATCCTGGGCAGCCCCTCCGCCACCCTCTTCTGGTTGAGGACGTGGATGTGCTGGCTCAGCTTTGAGACCGGCTGGCAGGAAGGAGAAAGGTCTGTATCACAGGGACCGTCTGCTCCCCCTTATCAAGGACCTTTCTGTGACCATGTCTCTTGGACACCTTCCTGGCCGCATCCCGTGCCGCTTGCTGCCCACAGACTCACCATGATGACCCCCGTCTCGTTATTGGCCAGCATGATGGAAACCAAGCAGGTGGTCGGCCGCACCGCAGCGAGGACGTCGTCCACCTCGGCCTGCCCACTTCGTGGGGACACAGGCACAAAGGTGGCTTCTGCAAGTCAAGAAACAAGCCCTCAGGTTTGCTGGACAGCGCAGCAGCGTCCAGGGCTGTCCAAACGCTGCTGAAAGGGCAGGAGGGCTACGTGGGCAGCTGGCATACAAGCAGAGGGTACCAGCATCAGATGCCAACCAGGTGAAACATACAGCCGGTGGGAACATGGGCACATCTCAGGAATCAGTGCCATTTGAGGGGGAAAAAGAGGAACATCACAGAGCAAGCAGGTCCCTGTCTTTGTCCGCTTTTCACCTTTAGCATAGCAAAACTGCCAGTAGGGCAAATCCCCTGCTTTCCATACTGCAAACCTGAGCCTGGGGCCAAATGTGCACAACCTGCCTCTCGCTGTCCCTGTACCAGCACCCAGCTCACCTGCCAGGCTCTCCTTCACCAGATGCTCCAGCGGCAGACGGATGGAGTCATGCTCCACACTTGATGTCACGATGTGCGGCGTGGCCCCGTCCTGCCCCTTGCTTTCTTGGAAGTGCCTGAGAGCAGTGTGGATCACCATGTTGTTAGCCTGGGGAGAGGAACACAGAGAGAACAATGAACGCCTGGAGAAAGCACAGCGCCGTTCCACTCCACCCTCCTCACACAGCAGCACCCTCACCTCCGTGCCCCCTGAGGTGAAGATGACATCCTCCGGCCGGCCTCCCACCATCCTCGCCAGGCTCTCCCGGGCGCCAGCGATGAGCTCCTTGGCCTTCCTACCTGCAGGGCCAGGCCCAGCCGCTCCGTCACTGCTGTCACTGCTCCCACAGCCCCCACACCCAGCCCCTGCCCCAGGCCTTACCTGCGGGGTGGGCGCTGCTGGGGTTCCCCCAGGCCTGGCAGGCAGCGTCCCCCAGCGCCTGGGCCACCTCGGGGGCCAGCGGGGTGGTGGCGTTGTAGTCCAGGTACACGCTGCTGGGCGCAGGGCCCGGCGGCTCCGTCCCGGCACCCATCGCTCCCAGTGCTGTGGGGACGAGGGCGCAGCCGTGGGGGCCCCGCGCTGGGTGCGGCGCCTCAGGGCTCCCCTCAGGGCTCCCCTCAGGGCCTCGCCCGCAGTAATGGCGCCCGCCCCGGCCACGCCGCCGCCCCCCATTGGCCACCCGCAGCCGCCACCCGCGCGGCGACCAATCAGCTCCCGCCCTCCTTCCCGCCCCGCATCCCCCCCTCCCCATTGGTCCCCGGCAGGCGGCCCCCGCCTTCCCCCCCCCCCATCCCCTTCCCCCCCTCCCGCGGGGCGCCGCGAGGCGCGCGCTCACAGTCACGCGGCGGTCCCCCCCCCCGCCTCCCCGCGCCGGCCAATCCCGAGGCGGGCGGAACAGGCGGGGGGCGCTGCGCACTTCCGGCGCGTGCCCGCTGGGGCCGGGCGGGGCGAGGCGGAGAAGGGGCGGGAGCGGCTCGCGGCGCTGCCCCTCTCCAAGATGGCGGCGGCGACCTCGGCCCGTTCCCCCCGCGCCCTCCTGCGCAAGCTCGGCAGAGCCCCCTCCAAGATGGCGGTGAGCCCCGGGGAGGGAGGGGCCGCGCCGGGCCGGGGGCAGGCCGGGGCCCGGCTCCCTCAGCCCCCTCAGCGGGCCCCGGCCCCGCTCCCGCAGCGCCGTGACTCAGCGCCCGGGGCCGGGCCGCGGGGGGCGAGGCGGCGGCGGCGGCGGCGGCGGGGCCGGGCCGGGCCTCCCCCGGAGCCCCCTCAGCGCCCCGGGCTCCGAGCAGCGCCCGGCGGGGCCTGGGGCCGGGCCCTGCGTGTGCCCCGAGCGGAGCCCGGCGACTCGCAGCGATCCCGCGGGGCGCCGCTGGCCGCGGGTGGCGGGACCGGCCGCGGGTAGGCCCCGCAGCGCCTTGGGAAGGCCCCGGCCCGGCAGTGCTGAGCGGGGTTTGCCCTCCGCTCGCTGGCGGTGTGGGAGAAGATGCCCCCGTTCACGCAGCGCCTCTCAAATTGTCTTTCAGGTTATGTCGTAACCGCGGGATAAGCGAGCAGTGATGGAAGCACTGGACAGCGAGGTGAAAGCACGGAAGACTCTGGGAGCTGTTGAGTACGTGGAGTCTTCAGGCTTCACGCAGGGAATACTGCCGACCAAGAAGGATGTGGTGCAGAACATGCTGTACTTGCTGCAGCCCAAAAGAGCGGGCCAGGCCCAGCGCTCCAAGGAGGATGCAGCCTACTTGCTTGCTGAGCACCTGCAAGAGCACTGGTTGGTTTGCAACTTGCACACCATCGGAACACAAAATATAAAGAAACTTATCCTCAAAATGTACGAGGAGTTTACCCGATTGTATCAGACCCGAAAGCAGAGACAGAACCAGGCTTTTACGGAGAGAGCAGACAAATTCAACGAGAGTTCGGAGAAGCTCTTTGACATATTTTGTACAGACGCGCAGTTGAGAAATAAATTGGAGGAATACAGTGGAATAAAAATGACTGGCATCGAATGGAAATTTCTTGAAGATCAAAGAAGCGAAAGGAAAATGTACTACGAAGACTTCACGGACAAGCAGGAACTGAAGATGATGGAAAGAAGGCAGAAGATACAGTGTCTGGAGCACTTCAGGAAGCTTGCCAGGGAGGAGAAGGAAGGAAACAAATCGAAGGAAATGACGTATAAAAGCGATGAGCAATCGGATGAAGGCAGGAGTGTGGATGAATCCTATCTCGCTGAGGAAGAGAACGGAGGGGCTCCTGCCTTCTCGCTGAGGGGCAGAAGGAAGCGCCGCTGCACTGCCTGGTCCACCGGTGCCGCGACTCCTGCCAGCGATGCCATGCCCCTGGAGTGCCAGCATATACGGATGAGCATCAGGAGAGTTAGGCCTGGGTTCTACGAGACTGTGGACAAGGTCGAAAACTGCTAGTGTATGCTGTGGTCAGCAAGCAGAGCTGCTGGAGTACAAGGTGGCAGTACACACGTTAGGCAAGTTTGAAATCCCACAATCAATTGGAAGTGAGTGTCGCAGATCCCCAGCCAGAGCTCAGGAACATCCTGCCTCCGGGGAAGGGTGCTGGGACGACAACAACAGTGACACAAGGACTAAACCACGTGGACTTGGAAGGATAAGTAGTCGACGACTAATGACACGAAGACTCAAACGGAGCGGATGATGTAAGGTTATGTAGTGCATGAGCCTCTTCTTCCAAGGTCCTGTCTACGTCGGTGGGTTTTTGGAAGTCTCTCACCATTTCTGAGCCAGTGGTGGCCTAACAGGACTGATTTACTGCAGGGAAATAACTCGGACTTGTTGCTAATAGAAAATGAATGTGCTGAAGAGACCTTGCTCCTCCCATTTTCCGTGGGAGGGAGAGGTCTTCAGCCCTTTTCAGCAGAATTTGGCGTTTCTGTGAGGAAGGAAGCTGGTTTTCACATTGTGTTACCCAGTCCTAGAGAGGCGTCTTGTCATGTCGTGGAGGGATTGCTCTGCTGCTTGGGGAGGGAGGGAGAGAGGGATCAGGAGGCATTTGAGTGCTTTGGCTGTAAAAGCAGCGGTGGTTCTGGATACTTTATTCTGGACTCTATTTTAACTATGTTTCCTTGATCAGGGTAGACCTTCCTCTAATTGGATGAGTTAATACAAAGTCCCTAATCTAGGATCAGAGGTGTGAATCCTAAACGAACTGGTGTAGTCTTATCTTCCCAGGGAGGGGGAGTGGTCTGAAGATAGAGGGAAGGATGCAAACTGCATCGTTCAACTTAAAATGGGAAGTTTTAGAAACCATTGCACTGTCCTGTCGTCTTAGGATGTAGGGAAGAAAAAACCTTCCCCGTGTGTAGCTGTGGTATTTGCAGCAAAAGGCACCGAAGTCTGGGCTTGCTTTTCTTCCCCCTGTAGGTACGTGCAGACCAGTGGGGTGGAAGTGATAGTTTTCCACCAAGAGTTTGCTTGAAAAAGGTGTCATCCTCTTGCCCACATATATCCTCAGCAGTGATGTGTCTGTGATTTTAGATACATGCAGTACAAGGGTATCTGCCCTTCTCAGTTAGGGTTGCTTTACTGGTTTTTAAAGATGAGAGAGTTGAACTTTGTACAGAACCCAGCGCTGGGGATCTCTCTGGTGAGATTCCCAGAGCTTGCCAGATGACATTTAACAGCACAAAGTGAAGTCTCGGTTTGTCCACAGAAATACTCTGGTAGAAAGAGCTCAAACTTGCCTGGTTTTCAGATTTACCTTTCAGTGTGAACGTTGATTTCCCCACTCCAGTATCTCAGCTTTTCCCCGTTTCTTTCCTAGATGTCCTGCATATCATTTTACTGACATTAACTCGTGCTGTTTCATTCTTTAGCTTTTGCTTCCTTTAACAATAAATGCATGTACAAATAATTTTGACAGCTCCTGTTACTTTGATGAATCAGTTCTTGGACTGCTTTGAAGTCCTATGCCAAAGGAGGAATGAAACGCCAGGTAGCTGCTGTTCCAAGTCAGATGCAGTGGAGCCAGGCAAAGCCCAGCAGCAGCAGCCCTGGCCCTGCTGCGTAGTTAGGCTGCAGCGTGTATCTGCTCCGTCCCTCTGCCTAGGGACGGATTTGTGCAGCTCTGAGTGATAAGTCGGCTTCCCAGTGAACTCGCTCTTTATTAATTGCCAGGATCTTTACCCTGTGTCTCTGAGAAGTTCCTCTTGGTAAGGGGCTGCAGAATATCCAGTGAGCGCAGTGCATTCCGCGTCACTGCTGGTGTCGTTACGGGTTTCATTGCACGAACCCGCGTTCTGCAACACCCTTCAGCCTCCTCTGCTTGAGAGATCGCAGCCCTCTCTCTCCTCCTCTCTCTGACGTGCTTCACTGGCTTCCCCATGCAAATGATGTCACGTTTAAACTATTTGCCTTCCAGCCCTGAGGTGCTGGACTCTAGCCTCTCACTGGGCTTTTACACCAGCAGCTCTGTTTCAGCAGGGAATATAGCCAAGCTCGGACCTCGCAGAAATAGATGTTTTTGTAATAACTGCTGTAAAACTCCCTTTGTATTAAAAATATAGATGAAGTATAAGTGCTAGCGTGTAAAGTAAATCCGACAGGGTTGAATTGAGTATGGAACACAGCTGTATAGCGCTTCAGGATTTTCAGGGATTCAGGGAATTTAAGGTTGTCGAATCTGACTTCCTGTATACCACAGGGAATTACATTTCATTCAGAAGCCCCATACTCAGCCTACTGGTTTCAGTTTAACTGATGTGTCTTGCAGAAAGTTGAGCTGAAGACGTCAGAAGCCTGCTGTCTTCCTCAGTTACATACTTAATCGTTTGCTGTTTAATAATTATGACCATCTTCTAGGCTGTGATTCTTTTCATGACATTGTGTACAGGCTGAGCAGTGTTTATTGCATTTAAATCATATTTGTTTTTTAACTGGGTTTGACTGTGGATAGAGCCAAAGCCTGGCTCTGTTTCTGCTGCAACAGGGGGGAGATTTCTATAATGATGTATTCTGATTACTCTTCTTTGGGACCATGGTGCCTTTTTAATCAGGACAGTAAATCTTGTCCCAGATTCTGTACTTTTGTACGTTAACAGTTGTTGACTTTCCTTTTTTGGTGTGTCCCAAATAAATTAATATAACATACCTCTGGGCTTTTGTTTCTTCTTTCTAAAGGGGGAGGAAAGAGGAAACTGAAGCTAAAATTAATCTTCTCTACCACAGCTCTCCCTACCAGGCTCTTGCAGGAGCAGCCACAAAGCATGTGGGTGGATCCGCTTTCATCTGGACTGTGCGGGGCGGCAGTAGGAAAGCTTCTAGAGAGAGGAGGAGGAGAACCCGAGCCCCACGTGGAGCCTTTTTACAACAAATGCTGGAGCCTGGAGCCACCAAAGGTAAGGGGAAGGGGCTGAGACTCATGTGCCTGGTGGTGGCATTTCACTCGGACTGGCTGTGGGCTGCAGGCAGTGCCGGAGACGCTCTCCTTCCCGGCAGTGGTCCCGTGATCCTGCCCTGTGGATGAGTTCCCCCTGGTGCCTGCTCCTCCCTGTGACTCGGGGCCGTGTTCGGGGGGTTGTGAGAGACAAGTGGGGGGCAGGCGGTGTCCAAGAGACACACAGGGTGATGGCCTAAGGGGCCTCAGGAGGGTGGAGGGGAAGTGGGGAAGGAAAAAATGCTGTTAACAGCACCTTGGCTTCAGTAGCTTTTCACAAGAAGAAGGAATCAGAGCGCATCCCAGGGGTTACAAGGGCTTCTGATGGATACTGAGGTGCTGATTTAACTGGACGTCTGTGGAAAAATACTTCCAGCCATTGCAGCTGGATGGTGCGAATTGTGTTTTCCTACCTTGAAACTTTTGCTTTGATTTCTGCAGGAGCGATACAAACGAGAGGACATCCTGAAACCTGAGTGTGGCCAGGTGCCCCTGCACCCCAGCCGTCAGTCCTTGGGGCCAGGCAGGGCTTGTGCCAGCCCCAGGGAGGGTTTTACACCCTCTGCAAGCACG